TACTTTGATGAGATGAGATGATATGAGATGAGATGATATGAGATGATATGAGATGAGATGAGATAATATGAGATTAGTTTGATGAGATGAGACGATATGAGATGAGATGAGATGAGATTAGTTTGATGAGATGAGATAAGATGAGATGAGATGATATGAGATGAGATGATATGAGATAATATGAGATGAGATGAGATAATATGAGATTAGTTTGATGAGATGAGACGATATGACATGAGATGAGATTAGTTTGATGAGATGAGATAAGATGATATGAGATAAGATGAGATGAGATGAGATAATATGAGATTAGTTTGATTAGATGAGATAAGATGAGATGATATGATATGAGATGAGATGATATGAGAAGAGATGAGATGAGATAATATGAGATTAGTTTAATGAGATATGATGAGATAAGATGATAGGATATGAGATGAGATGAGATGAGATAAGATGAGATGATATCAGATGAGATGAGATAATATGAGATTAGCTTGATTAGATTAGATAAGATGAGATGATATGAGATGAGATAATATGAGATTAGAAGAAAACAGCAGAGAAGAGAACATATGAGAATATAAGATAAGAGAGATAAGAGAAGAGAAGACAAGAGTGAGAGTAGAAGACAAGACAAGAAGAGACAAGTGAAGAGAAAAGAAAAGAAGTGAAGAGAAGAGAAGTGAAGGAAAGAGTAGAGAAGAGAATAGGAGAAGAGAAAAAAGAGAAGAGAAGAAAATAGAAGAGAAGAGAAGGAAAGGGTAGAGAAGAGAATAGAAGAGTGAAGAGAAGAAAAGAGAAAAGAAGAGAAAAGAAGAGAGGGGAAGAGAAGAGAAGTGAAGAGAAAAAAAGAGAATAGAAGAAAAGAGAAGAGAAGAGAACATATGAGAGGATAAGGTAAGAGAGATAAGAGAAGAGAAGACAAGAGAGTAGAGGAGAAGACAAGACAAGAGAAGAGAAGTGAAGAGAAAAGTAAAGAAGTGAAGAGAAGAGAAGTGAAGGAAAGGGTAGAGAAGAGAATAGAAGAGAAAAAAGAGAAGAGAAGAAAAGAGAAGAGAAGAAAAGGAAAGGGTAGAGAAGAGAATAGAAGAGAGAAGAGAAGAAAAGAGAAAAGAATAGAGGGGAAGAGAAGAGAAGTGAAGAGAAAAAAAGAGAATAGAAGAAAAGAGAAGAGAAGAGAACATAAGGTAAGAGAGATAAGCGAAGAGAAGACAAGAGAGGAGAGGAGAAGACAAGAGAAGAGAAGTGAAGAGAAAAGAAGTGGAGAAGAGAAGTGAAGGAAAGGGTAGAGAAGAGAATAGAAGAGAGAAGAGAAAAAAGAGATCAGAAGAAAAGAGAAGAGAAGAAAAGACAAGATAAGAGAAGAGAAGATAAAACAAAAGAAGCAAAGAGAAGAGAAGTGAAGAGAAAAAAAGAGAATAGAAGAAAAGAGAAGAGAAGAGAACATATGAGAACATAAGATAAGAGAGATAAGAGAAGAGAAGACAAGAGAGGAGAGGAGAAGACAAGAGAAGAGAAGTGAAGAGAAAAGAAAAGAAGTGAAGAGAAAAGAAGTGAAGGAAAGGGTAGAGAAGAGAATAGAAGAGAGAAGAGAAAAGAAGAGAAAAGAAGAGAGGGGAAGAGAAGAGAAGAAAAGACAAGATAAGAGAAGAGAAGATAAAACAAAAGAAGCAAAGAGAAGAGAAGAGAAAAGAAGAGAAGAGAATAAAAGAGAAGAGAAGTGAAGAGATGAAACGTCATAAGAGACATGTTTCGAGTTGAGATTAGATTGTTTCCGCTTCGTGCGTGTGATTGCAGTAAACTGGCATGACTAACCTGACAGCCGATGATGAACTTGTCGTGCTGGAAGCCGAGTCGTGCTCGCTCCTGATCGCTGTCAAGGCTCTCGAGAAAGGCCGCCATGCTCGTGAAGACCGACGTAAGTCGCGTGTAGTTGTCCACGTCCCTCCGCCTGCGGAGGTAGCGCAGTCGTGCGTATTCCGCCAGGCTGGTGGCGAACGCTCGCGGCGTCTTGCTGCCGCGTTCGGCCAGTCGCGAGTAGCCGAGCGGCGAGATGGGACGCAGGTTGCAGATGGTGACGGACGGAAAGGGACTGGGCGCGTCGCGGAGCAGTCGCGGCGGGTGGATGACGTTGTACTCGAGGTACTGTCGCGCCAGGAAGAACATGCAGACGAGGCAGCCGAGCAACAGCAACACGAACAGCCAACTCCAGAGGAGGCGAAGACCGCGTTGCGGAGTGCGCACGATGCGCGGCAGGCCGCGGATGGTCGTGTTCTCGCAGAACCGTTGCAGCTCCGCCAACAGAGCCTGCCACAACTCGCTTCGGCAAGCTTCGGGAACTTGAGCTATTCCATCAGCCTCGAGGTCTTTGACGCCTCCTGAATATGTGGAATTCGTGGAAGCTTCGGCAACTTGAGGTATTCCACGAGCTTCTAGGTCTTTAAATCCTCCAGA